GCTATAATTTGCTCCAGTATACCTTCTGCCCCTCTCTCTCTTTCTTTTTCTTCTGGGATCCCAATTATTCTAATATTGTTTCGTCTTTTGGTATCACTTACCTCTCGAATTCTGCCCTCATGATCCAGTAGTTGTTTATCTGTTTTTCTCAGCTTCTTTATTTTCCATCATTTGGTCTTCTATATCACTAATTCTTTCTTCTGCCTCATTTATCCGAGCAGTTAGAGCCTCCATTTTTGATTGCACCTCTTTAAGAGCCTTTTTGATTTCGACTTGGTTAGATTTTAGTTCTTTTATTTCTCTAGAGAGGGTTTCTCTAATATCTCCCATGCTTTTTTCAAGCCCAGCTAGTATCTTTGAAATCGTCCTTCTGAACTCTAGTTCCAACATCTTACTAATGTCCGTATTGATTAGGTCCCTGGTAGTTGGTACTGCCTCTTGTTCTGTTTTTTGAGGTGATTTTTTTCTGTCTTGCCATTTTGTCCAGAGGACAATAGATGAATGAGAGAACAAAATGCTAATGGGGTAAATATACACTAAACAACTCAGAAGAGACCTGAAAATATACACTAAACAACTCAGAAGAGACCTGAAACCGGGGGAAAAGAAAGGGAAAGAAAGAAAAAAGAAAAAATATTTTTTAAAAAAAGAATATGATCAAATATGATCAGGCTGGTGCATAGATCAGTGCTACACACTAGATTTTGGGTGTATTTTGGTCTGTTAGAAGAAAGTGCCTCCCAAAATTTTAAAGAAAAACTTAATATATGTACAAAAATAAGGGTAAATACAATGAAGGGATGGAATATGACTATAAAGATGAAAATTATAAAAGATTTTATAAAAGGAATTGATAAGAAGTTGAAAAAAAGAAAGAAGCAGAAGAAAAAAAAGGGAGAGAATGTGATCAGGCAGGAGACTAGAACAAAGCCATACACTAGAGATTAAGGGTATATTTTGGTCTGTTAGAAGAAACTGCATCCCAAAATTTTAAAGAGAGAACAACTTATATATATACCGAAAATAAGGTTAACTACTATGAAGGGATAGAATATGACTCTAAAAATGAAAAATTAAAAAGATTTTTAAAGGGATTGATAAGATATTGGGTGAAAAAGGGAAAAAGAAAAATTCAAAAGAAAAAAAAGTAAATTTAAAAAATTAACTTTGAAAGACTAAAGAATCAGGGGGAAGAAAGCCATGAGTTCTATATGCTGTGTTCCCCTAGTGCTGGAGTTCTGCCGTTCTCATCGATCGGTAAACTTGGTCTTGGCTGGCTATTCTTGCTGATTTTCTGGGGGAGGGGCCTGTTGCCGTGGTTCCCAAATGTCTTTGCCGGAGGCGGAATTGCCCCGCCCTTGCCGTGTCCGGCTAAGTAATCTAATCCGGTTTGCTCTTGGGAGCTTTTGTTCCCTGCAAGCTTTCTGTACAGCTTTGGAGGACAAGAGTGAAAATGGCGGCCTCCCAATCTCCACCCCCCCCCCCCCCCCGAACCGAGAACTCGGGCCCCACTGCTCAGTGAGCCCCCAGAGAAAAGTAGTCAATCACTTCCATCTCCCCGGTCTTCAGCCGCACTCCGTGCTCACCTGGCCTGTGACCAAGCGTTTCTATCTCTGGCCCCCGACCCCGTGTGGAGTCTCCAAACTCAGCAGAGTCCTGGGGTGCACTCCCGTGCCACTCCTCCCAGGGGGAGGAAGGGGAGTCTCCCTGGATCTGCTGCTTGTTGGGTCCCTGCTGGAAGAGCAGTGGCCCGACTGTGCCACGGATCACGGTTTATGGCAACCCTGAGCTGAGAGCCTGCTCCTCGGCTCCATCTCTGCAGCTGGCTTCCCCGCTCCGATACCTGGGAGCTCTACCGCACTCAGGCACCCCCAGTCTTTCTGTGACCCTGAGGGTCCTGAGATCACACTGTCCCAGCGAGGGTTCCACCCTCCGCTTAGCCACTGGAGCGACGTCCCTCAGTGGAGCAGACTTCTACAAGGTCCGATTTTGTGCTCTGCTGCTCTGTCACTTGCTGGTAGCGGCTGACGGAGGCCCCCTCCCCTGCCATCTATCTTCCCGAATATCACCTCAGATTCACTTCTCCGCGCGTCCTACCTTCCAGAAAGTGGTCGCTTTTCTGTTCAGAGAGTTGCTGCTATTCTTTTCTTTGAGCTCCTGTTGAGTTTGTAGGTGTTCAGAATGGTTTGATCCATATCTAGCTGAATTCCTGGGACCAGACGAAATCCAGGTCTCCTACTCCTCTGCCATCTTGCTCCTCCAAAATAGTGTATTTTAATAGAAAGCTATAATATTGTCCTCATATTTTCTTTTAAATGCCCTTACAGAATCTAAACTCATGTCATTTTCTATTGTTAGATTCTACTCTGTTGTAAAATACCTCCCGATCTGTTCACAAGTACAGGCTTACCCTGCTGTCTGAAAGTAGAGTGTTCCTATGAGACCTTTCATAAGTCTGAATGGCGTAAAGCAAAGAAATAATTACTGTTATATGGAAGATTTTTTAAGCATTCCCAGACCCAAAAAATAACCTCTTTTAGGCTTTTTGCTAACAGATAACACAAAATCAATCAAAATACAGCACAGATGCCCACAGACACGGTTCAAAGCTGTGGTGGCTTGATGCTGAGATGTTGAGTGTAGGTCCTGAGGAAGGAGCGTGGTGGGGCACCTTTAGCTGCCCAGGGCTAGTGCTGCCTCTGTAACCATTCAGTGCAAAACAAACCCTGAATGCTCTTTTCACTTTTTGTCGTTTTTTTGTAAAAGTGAAAATCTTTGGATTTCTTTTGGTTAATGAAAACAGGTTCTAATATAGGTCTTTTGTAAAGATAAAGTGGTGTAATGCAAACTTTTGAAAAGCGGGAGTACCTGTATTGAGAATGTTTTCAATGTATTCATTTTAATGGGGTGAAGTGGAGGGAGAGGTCAGTTATAACTTTTTTAAACAGAATTGATTATAGAGTTGATTAAACAGTTTTGAGTTTCTTTAAATTATTTCCTCCTCATTTACTGAGGGATTCGTTTGGGGAATACCTTTTTAGTTTTAAAGCCTTCCACAATAAATTGCTGCATTTAATAGGTATTAGTGTTTGTGAATTGAATTGTCAGTACAACTTGGGATACACTCATGGTGATGTTTCCAAACCTGTTTTTAATATCATGAAATCATTTCTAGCACAGTGTGGGTTTTCATTTTTTCAAAATTAAAGTAAATTGTTTATGCTGATATGTAAACTGAATAATTTATGTATGAGAATAAGGAAGTAATTTGTCCTGAATATGATTGTGGACATGACAAAGAAGTTGATAATGAATGAAGCAAATGAGATTGAAACAAATCTCATTGATTACACTTGATTGTGTAGTAGCTTTTTTTTACTACTATTTTCAAGTAATACTGCCTATCACATGCATTCATGACTAGCATTTTTATTGCTAACTAATGTGAATTATTGGCATTGCTTTTAATTAGTTAAAAGTGTTTTCTACTATTGAAAAATTTCTATGTTTAGATAAGAATTGAAAAATATTTGAAAATATACCCATGAAGAAGTGGACTGATTTTTGAAAAATATTCTAAAATCTTACTTTATTGCATATCTGAAATGGAACTTGATGAATTTTTTTGAAAAGTTTTCAAATATATAATGATTTTCCTCCTCAGAAAAAGATGTTAACAGAACAGATCGAACAAACAAGTTTTATGAAGGCCAAGATAATCCAGGGTTGATTTTGCTTCATGACATTTTGATGACCTATTGTATGTATGATTTTGACTTAGGTAAGTTCTCTTCTAATATCCTAATTTTATAAGATTTATATATATTTATTTTAGAATTTAAATTTATTAACCTGTTAGGCATATGTAACAGCTCTGTGGCTAGTTTCTATAGGGATTGTTCTGTTGGACTGGAAACTTGGAAGGCTGTGATTCCCAGATTGTGCACTGAAGAGCACTGGGTTGCCACAGCATACTTGTGGGGCAATGTGGGATATTTTAAATTTTTGAGAAAGATAGTGACATCTGTAAGGATACTGCTCTGAGTCCTCGCTGAAGTAGTTCAGAGTTTCAACATTAGATCTCCAAATTCCTCCTGATGAATTTATAGTTTTGCAAAGCAGGGCTTTAGGCTTTGTCGTGATAAGCAAGTACTGTGTGAAAATAGATGAAGGACAGGAAATGAGGCTGGTGGCATCCAGTTGGATTCCAAGGTTTGAGAAGTAGTGCAGTGCCCAACATGTGCTAAGTTCATAGGACATAAATAGTTGTTAAATTGTTTGTATCTAAGTACTTAATAAATGGAAATGTTAGTTTATTTCTTTGAGCCTAGGGGTGCCTTAGAAAAAATTACTAAGACATTATGGAGTCTGAACTGAGAAAGTTTGGGAAACTTTGTTTTAAATGCTTTCCTCCCTTCTGAAGGAAGATACTGATGTGGTGATATCTTGGACAAGCCATGCAGATAAATATTATCTAGGCCATGTAGAATTTTACTCTCTTTTCTTGGTAAGTGTGCTTCCTACCAAAATGGGATAGATAGCAAGACGGGCTGGTAGGGGCAGTAGTGGATTGCATGAGGAAGATTTAAGGGGTAGAAAATATAAGGAATTAATATTTTAAGGGATAAGGGAACTTGAGCTGTTTCTTTAAAGGAAATTTTTTTATGCATCAGCCTTTAAGTAAGTGTAAGGAATGGAAAAGTTTCTGAGTTATCTACCACGTGAGTGATTCCCAAGAATCATTATTTTCATTATTTTCATTATTCCCAAGAGAATAATGGAAATAGATCTTTTCCAGATTATTTTAATAAAGCTTGAGACAGCTTTTGGAGAAGATAACGGGATATTTAGCATATTAAACCTAATTGAACCTTGAATTATGGTACATTTTCCTCACCGTTTGTATCTTTGTGAATTCCTCTCTTATATGTTAGGGGGAAGATATAAACTCTTTTGTGGATCTTGAGGCATCAGCCTCTTTGGTGACAGTAAATTGAAAACCACAGATCTCTCTTTAAAATGTAAAATTTAGCCAGTCCTATCTATCACACCTCACATTGGATCATTGAAAATAGGTTAGGGGTGCCCGGGTGGCTCAGTTGTTAAGCGTCTGCCTTCGGCTCAGGTCATCGTCCCAGGGTCCTGGGATTGAGCCCCGCATTGGGCTCCCTGCCCCGTGGGAAGCCTGCTTCTCCCTCTCCCACTCCCCCTGCTTGTGGTCCCTCTCTCGCTGTCTGTTTCTCTGTCAAATAAATAAATAAAATCTTAAAAAAAAGAAAAAGAAAACAGGTTAAAGCACTGTCATACTTGATTTTGACTCATTACTAATAGCAGCCTTTTGAAGAAGTGGGGAAATAATCCCAATTTTATGAGTAAGGTTTTATTGTTTTAGAGAGTGACTCAAGGTTGCACAAGTAGTAAATATTGGACTGGGGTAGAAACCCAGGTCTTTATTTTAGGCTGGCATTTTTACCTCTACACATCCGCCACGCTGACCCATTGCCATTTTACTACAGGGACTAGGACCATTGTCTTAGGGAACAAGAGGCATTGTCTTGTACTCTCAGGTGATAATTTTGAGATAGGAATTCATGCATATTTTTTGGAGTTCCTAAATGCTCCGTTTTTTCAGGGCATAGTCCCAGACCAGCTAACTGGGTAAATTGCTGTCTTCATTTGTCCGTATTAATCCCTCATTCTTTGTAGTCAAATACTTAAGTTATCTGAAACATAGCCAAGGTTCATGAACTCTGGCCTTGTGAGGAGCCAAGGTAGTTTTCCTAAAGCAGTGCACCAAATTTCTTGTCTTTTACCATGGCAAAGTAACCTGGGCTGTAAATTTACTCCTGTAGGTAATTTTATATCATATTGAGTTGTTTGGCCTCATAGCCCATATAGATGAGGTATAGGTATATTTACATTTAATACAATCTCATTAATAGTGAGGAAGGAGACAGAAATTACCAAAAGCAGAAAGAAGAACTCCAGGAAGAATAATTTTTAGTTAGTGCAAAGACTTTACACTTAGGATGTTTCTATGGGAGGTAATCTTTTTAAGTGGTGTATGTACATAATAATGATTCTAAATAATCAATAAAACATTAAATTATACTGAAAATTATGTAAGAAGGCAGAGTGTCTAATTTAAAAAAAAAAAGATTTCCAACTCCTAAGATTACTGTTTTTTATTTGATACTCTAAGGGCTAAGCTTCAGTTAACCTAGAAATTGACCTAGATGTAGGTGAAATTTTTCTTTTCAATGGAAGAATGTGTACACTAGGATGATAAGGAGTTCATTTCTCATACCTCTCCCCTGAAAGAAATTTGCTATGAAAATAATTTTAGGGAACTACTTGAGAAATTGTAGTAGTGCTGATTAAGATGTGCATCAGTCAGCACTGCTGCAGGATCTTAGTGTCACTGAATGCTAATTTAAACAGCTTTAATCTTTCTTTAATTAAAAGGAATTTGTACATTAATTCCACCCCCACAACTCATGACATACCCCAAAGAACATCATGTATAAAATAAGATTAAAAGCAACTAGAGTATGAAGATTAATTTGACCTCTTACTTCAGCTAAGACTTGTATAAGAAATATGGTAGTGATCCTATGCGAAAGCTGAAGACTTAAATGATTAAATTAGTTTCTTAGAAATTTTTATTCATTATAACTTTATAATAAAGCACTTTTTTTCCAGACGAAAGGTGCTTTGTAAATCTTTTGAATAGCACACTTTGAAATACTTTTATTATAGACTATATGGAGTCAGACCCAGTAAAGTAGTAATCTTTTGCACTTTGTTGAATTCAGATCAAATTTCTTTCATGCTTTATATTTGTCATTGCTTTCACTGTGTCAGTGTCATGTAGAAAAGTGCTGATAACAATTTAGTCTTCCTTCCAACCTATTTATTCTTTTTTAAAGGATTTTATTTATATATTTGAGAGAGAGAGAGAGAGAGAGAGTGAGACAGATCACAGAGGGAGAAGGAGAAGCCAGCTCCCCGCTGAGCAGGGACCCCAATGTGGGGCTCCATCCTAGGACCCTGGGATCATGACCTGAGCCGAAGGCAGACACTTAACCGACTGAGCCACCCAGGCGACCCTATTCTTTTTTTAAAAAGTGTTTTTTATTAGCGTTCTCCAGGGGAACAGAACCATTAAGTTATGTATGGTTATATATTTTTATTTCTGTTTATATATATATATTTTATATATTTTAACATGGATACACAGAGAAAGAAAAAGATTCTTTTAAGGTGTTGGCTCACACGATTATGGAGACTGAGAATGAGAAGTCTCACAATCTGTTGTCTCCAAGTTGGAGACCCAGGAAAGCCTGAGAGCAGGAGAGCCAGTGGTATAGATGCCAGTTCAGGTCTGTAGGCATGAGAACCATGAGCTCTAAAGGCAGAAGAGGATCAATGTCCCGGTTCAGAAAGCCAGGCAGAGAGCACATCATTCAACCTTCCTCCATCTTTTTATTCTGTTCAAGCCCTCCATGGACTGGGTGGTGCCCACCACATTGGGGAGGGCCATCTACTTTCATCAGTTCATCAATTCAAATGCTAATCTCTTCTAGAAACACCTTCAGGGCACTCACAGAAAGAATGCTTAATCAGGCTTTGAGCATCCTGAGGCCTACTCAAGTTGACAAATAAAACTAATCATCACAAGTGTGCATGGTTTTAAAAAAAGTCTGTGATAAATTTGTAGAAATATTACATTTAGATATCATGTCATATGCCATTTTTTTCCTGGCAGTTGTCTCCAAATGTTATTCCTGGTACTGTAATAATTGGATACCCACCATGGCAACCCACATGTTCTTTCGTGTTACATGAGTAGAGCCATACTTTTCCACAGGGTGTCATGTAGACGTAGGTTGATAGGAACACAGCAGTAGATGATGGGGCAGAGGCTCAGAACAGATAGAGATGAGCTTTTATTTGTAGGGAGATCCTGAGGTGATCTGAATTGTCTCTGTGTTATACCTCTAATCTGAGGTTTCTCAAGAGACTCCGGCCTACATGCTTCCTGAGGTCATTTGTTAAAGTTTAAAGCTTTATTCCAAAATAGGAAGAGAGATGTGGAATTGTGTATCATTTCTAGCAGAAATATCCTCTTCCCCTTTAAAATATATACTCTTAATGGCTTCAGTGCACATTGATTTTTGTGAATGATAAGAATGTAAGCTTTGGACTTACACATGAAAGACTGTATTTTCCATGACTTCAAGCTACCTTGGAAAAAAAAAAAAACCTCTATGCAACTTTAACACATGTATAAAAGTTACCAAAGTTGAATGATAATATGTATGCATGAAGGCATAGTTTGAACTTTTGCCTCTTTGTTGGTTCAAGAATGTTTGTCTTAAATCTGAAATCAATTGTTGAACAGTTAAGAAAATTGAGAGTTTCATAAGGTGGAACTAAAAATAAGAAGCTTGACATATTCAGGTGGAAAGCAAAACCAAGACTTTTTGTTTAAGTGAGGGTCCTGATTCTTTAACTTTCCAGTTTTTCTTTTTAATCATAGGCTATAATTGTCATGACTGAGAAATTATAGCCGCAGGCTAAAGCAGTTGGACCCTTTTTCATTCTTATTTTATTTGGCTTGTTCATGGCAGTTAGGTGCTGTTGGCTGCTTGGGTCCTGAAATTTTTTTTCCCCTTGACTTTTATAACAAATTTCTCCCTTGATTTCCCTCCCCTCCTTACTTCTGACTACTCCTTCTCAAATGTCCTTTGAGTATATACTCTTACCTTTGATGTTCCTCTGGGTTTTCTCTTTACCCCTCCTCTTTATCATAAAAATTTTGCATATTATTTTTTAATAATATCCTCTCTTGGTAATGATACCTACACTAAGACACATAATAGCAGCTGTCTATCTGCTTGACATTTCAGTCTAAAACAATTCATTTTTCTTACTGATTGCTAGACTTCCTCCTTGTTTATTCTCTTTTCTTGGTAAACGTCATTATCTACCAGTTTCTGAAAGCAAACAAAAGATGAAATTTTAAGTGAAACCGTGGTGATATGCACAGAAGGATACATAAAGCTTAGGTTTTCAGAGACATGATTTTTTTTTTTTTTTCGTATTCTTAGGGTATGTTCAGGGAATGAGTGACTTACTTTCCCCTCTTTTATATGTGATGGAAAATGAAGTGGATGCCTTTTGGTGCTTTGCCTCCTATATGGACCAAATGGTAAGAACAGGGGCTCCTTCCTTTAATCAAACTAATTTTGAAAATTTTAGTTGTATAATCTTATTATATATTGGTGTTTATATTTAGACAGTTATGCTGGAATTTAAAATTGCTCCATGTTGTTTGTTTGTTTCTTTTTTAAATAGCCTTTTCAAGGGGCTTGAAAATATGGACATCATTTTTAATACAAAATGTAGATAGTAAGTGCCTGTAGCACAGGAATAATCAGGATTTAATATCAGTAAATGCTTGTGTTCTGCAGAAGAGCTGTGAGTCATAGAATATTGATGGAATAGATGAATTCAGTGCTTATGAAGTAGTTGAACTTTCATATCTTCTTTGGAGATAAAGCTTAGTCATGCCAAGTAATATCCTTACTTTTTGTGAACATTTTGGATTTTGTCATTATAGTAACTGATTTTTCTTCTAAATCTGTTTGAACTATTTGTAACAGTGACACTTTCTTAGTAATTCATTGTTATTTTCTCAGGAGCGTGTGATTATTAGAGTTGAACTATGTTTATATATACATATTATTACAAAGAACATTTTATCTATTGATAATAGCTTGGAGACAGAATTCTGGGACAATAGCACAGAGTATTAACAGGGAAACAAAATAGAATAGTCTTCTCAAGTAATCTATTAGAAAGAAAAAAACAGCAGAGGGCTAAGAGTAGATAAAGGCATATGAAATCCAAAGACCTGAATACACAGGTCACTGTACTGTTTGAGAGAAAAACTAATACACTTGATGCTGGACTTTGATGTTGGGTATTCATTGCAAGGGGATAAAGATTTTGAATATGTAATCATATGCAACGTTTCCCTGTAATATAGGGTTTAATTCATTTTCTGGGATATAAATGTGGAGTTCAGAAGAAGTACCCTTCTCTTTTTTCCATACTTCTGTTCTTCCCCTCTTGCTTTCCAATTTTTCTTTTCCCTCCTAGTTTTTCCCACTTTTATCTATTTCTTCAAGTCTCTCATATCCATGGTACCAACTCATCCTCACTTCTCCTACTTCTTTTCCAAATGCATATTTGATAAGATTTGATAAGTTTGAAAATATCTTTTACTATTAATAAGTATTCAGAGTACATAGTCCTGAACATGAATTAATGTTTTAGATTATTTGGAAAGATTATTAATTGCAGTAATCTGCTAATATCATAGTTTGTCTTCCTTACCTTTTTGATTGATTGATTTTACCTGCCTTCTTAGTTCCAATTATTCCCAAGTGCTCTAGAAACCTGAGGCATTTGTTATAAAGGTCTGTACAACTGATACTAATTGTATAAAAACTTTTGTCTGCCTTTCTTGTGTTTTTGTTGTTTATCCTCTTTTCACTAGAGCTAGTATGTTCCTTGATAGGTCATGTCTTTGTTTAACTAGTTTTCCGGTATGCTTCCAGAATTTTCCTAATGCCAACATGAGGTTTTTGTGCAACAGATTTTTGGAGAATAAACACATGAATATTTCCCCAGTGCTTAGTTTAGACCTTTACTTATAGTAAGTATTCCAAAAAAATTAAGATGAACATGCCGCATTTAGATTTTTACAATAATAACTTTCATAAAATAGAGCCAGTATTGGCATGTTCAAAAAATTGGCTTATGATGCCATATGTGTACACCTACATGCATATGTACATACATACTTGTGCATGTATTTAGGTCTCAAATGTAAAGACTTTTCTGAACATCTGTAGTATATACTTTACGGTCTGTCCTTTTTGTGTATGAAGTTTCAAATTCTTTCTTCTTTTTCATCGTAAATGTTCTCTGTGTTTGCCTTTTCCATTGAGGACAGTCTGGGGATTTTTCTAGTCTTTATTCTAAAAAAATCTCAATATATTGTCTACTAACATTTTTTTCGATTTGAATAAAAGGGCAATATTTTGCAATCAAAATAATCTGCATGATTATTTTTTACTGCATTGCTGTGGGCTTGGTGTCCTTAAATCTACACTGCTATTTGACTCCTTTTTGTTTCACAGCTGTATTTCATGTAAGTTTTTATTTCTTTTGTGATGACTGAATCTTATGTCCATAGATTTACTTTTTTTATATTTACTCATATCTAATATAGGTGTAGGCATAGGCTATGTGTCTGTTACAGAAATATTATAGAATGATTAGCAAAATGATCTAATGAACTTTCTTATACCCACTATTTATTTCGCCATGTAATTTAGTTCTTCCCTTCCTTCTCCTCACCTCCCTCCCCCATATATATGTGTGTATATATACACATATATACACATATACACACACATATATATACATGTATCTGTGTACATGCACACATACGTATGTATTTGTATGCACACATGTATTTATTTTACAAATACAGTTGAAGCCATTTGTATATCCATTGTTGATCTCATTTTCCCTTCTCCCAGAGTAGCTACTTTTCCAAAGTAGCTGTCATTTTGGGAGTGCTTCTTTTTATAGCAGATCATGCCATGTTGGTACTCCCAAACCAACTCTAACCTTTGGCTGTCATAATGAAAATGATGGTGTTAATCGAAGAGTTGATTCTGTCTTTCCCTTACAGGTCTATGTGGTAAATGTGAAGAAACAATATCCTAAAGGCGTGCCAATCTAGTAAACTAGTTCTTTAAGGCATAAAGGAGAAGTCAGGTTTTTTAAAAAGATTTGTTTATTTATTTTAGAGAGAGAGTGTGCAGGGGGAGGGGCAGAGGGAGAGGGAAAGCAAATCTCAAGCATATGCCCTGCTGTGCAGGGCTGGATCCCATGACCCTGAGACCATGACCTGAGCCGAAATCAAGAGTCAGACGCTTAACCGACTAAGCCACCCAGGCACCCCAAGAAATCAGTTATTTGACAGTCACTAGCTTTAAAAATGTTATTTTACTTTATTTTTACCAAGAATGATGCTTTGTCTCCAAAACTTAAATAGAAGTTTGAGGGAAGAGATATTGTCTTTAGGCTTTTTATAAGCATTAGGACAGTAGGTTACCATAGAGGGGTTGGGGCACATGGATAAAAGGGATTGGAATGATCTAAGGAGACTTTAAATTATTTTGGTCTCCCCACCCATCTCACAACCCTTGACTAAAGTTTTGGTAGGGAGTCTACTCAACTTTGCAGAATATTTAAAATTATATAAACCATAGCAGTTGTCATACTTTGTGATCTCAGGACCCCTTCATACTCTTAGATACTATTGAGGACTCTGAGAACATTTGTTTATGTAGGTTATATCTTTTGATGTTTCTGTATATGAAAAATTAATACTGAGAAGTATATAAACATTATTAGTTATTTAAAAATAACAATAAACCTTTTATACTTTAACACACATAATACTATCTTTTAATGAAAAGTAACTTTTCCAAAACAGAAACAATTTACTGAGAAGAGGGATTGTTTTCCATTTTCCATTTTCTTTGATGTCTAGTTTAATGGAAGACAGCTGAATTTTCATATCTGCCCCTGTATTCAGTCTACTGCAATAGCACTCCTCATACAGCCTTTACCCTTGTGGGAGAATTTAAAGTGCAAAATGCATATAGTATTTTAGAATTGTCATGAAAATGGTTTTCACTTCATAGATTCCCTAATGTCATCAAATTTAAGAAATAATTAAAATTAGTTCTTCAAAATAAGATATATGTTACAGCTAACATTTATTTTATATGACAATTTGAAGAAATATTTAACAATGGAAGTGATTTAATAAAAGTTTATTGCCCAGATGTGTGTTTCCTTCACCAACTTTCTTATTTCATGTAAGAAATCAGTATATCAGTCTATAGCTCTGCATCCTTCTTTAAGTGAAATGAATAGAGGAAAAAAATAATCCTTAGTTTGAGACCAAGGATTCTCTTTCCCTCCTTTTTAATGTTGCTTTAGCTTTTTAATTTGTTGTGATTTTTAAGAATATAACCAGTGTGGTATAAGTCCAGCATTTGTCCTTAAACTCATGGTTTAGTTATCAGTGATTTTGTAATGTAAAATATTTATTAAGTATTATTTATGTGGTGACATTTATTTCCCTTTAAAGCATCAAAATTTTGAAGAACAAATGCAAGGCATGAAGACCCAGCTAATTCAACTAAGTACCTTACTTCGATTGTTGGATAGTGGATTTTGCAGTTACTTAGGTAAGTTTAGTGAATCAAATTATATTGATTTGATTGAGCCACTGGGTGGCTCAGTCGTTGAGCATCTGCCTTTGGCTCAGGTCATGATCCCGGGGTCCTGGGACCGAGCCCCACATCGGGCTCCCTGCTCAGCGGGAAGCCTGCTTTTCCCTCTCCCACTCCCCCTGCTTGTGTTCCTGCTCTTGCTATCTCTCTCTCTGTCAAATAAATAAATAAAATCTTTAAAAAAAAAATTATATACCCAACAAATTGTAGGGTAATATATACAAAGAGAAAAAATGTAAAGAACTGTCTTAAAGATACATATACCCTATCATTGTTGCCTGAGTTCCTTTGAGGAATCAAAGTGTGGGACCAAACTTTCTTTGTATAATGCCTTAAAACAGTTTATTCATAAAATGAATTATTTGTTGTTTTTTTTATGGTTTTCTTTTAAACAAATTTGAATTGTTTCCTTGAATTAGTAGAAGGCAATTAAATTTCTAGGACTTCTAATAGCTTAAGCTGCATGGAAAAATTTGAGTTTGAAATAGGTTACTGTATTCTGAGATAATCAGCATAAGAGTAAGCCATATATATGTTTTTTTTTTCCTTTTTGTATAGAATCTCAGGACTCTGGATACCTTTATTTTTGCTTCAGATGGCTTTTAATTAGATTTAAAAGGGAATTTAGTTTTCTAGATATTCTTCGATTATGGGAGGTAAGTTCTTAAATTACTATACAAATGTAATATTTATTATGGAAAGAAACACTTTATTGTGTAGAGTATAAATGGATTATAATAGCCTAACTGAAATTTCTAAAGCCTAACTGAAATTCTGATGGTTTTATGGTCTTTCCTTAATGATCTTGAATTGAATATTTGGTCTTTGGAGCATTTTTTATAAATCTCAATCCTTATGAGATTTCGGGCCACTAGGTTTCCTAGAACCACTTTTCTAGATGATTTATAATTGTTTTCTTTCCTTGGGAGGCTTAACTTTATGTGAGGCTCTTCCACATTCTGGTATAGATATGTATAGAGTTCAAGGAACTTTTGACACACAGTCAGTTGAGATGGCACTTTGTAGTCTGAAGTATTGGGAGGGAGCTGATTTGTGTTTTGCTTTTTTAAAGAACTTTGAGGTAGAGAAAAAGACTAAGAATAATACAGCAAACATCTTGTGAATATATAACCATTTAATTAGTTTCTATCTGATATTTTGCTTATTTGCACCAACAATGTTGAAATGAACATCATGTTTAACACGAAGGCAAGTATCTTAATATTCCAATTTTCATGTATACCTCTGAATATGTCCTTAGAATAAATTTCTAGATACCTCTGAATCAAAGACTAGTCAGTTTTTAAATGTGTTGATAGATTTTGCCAAATTACTCCCAAGAAGAGGTGAGAGATGATTATTTTTCAGAATGGGCACACCAAAGGTAGGAAAGGCCACATTTAATCACTTGTAGTCAGCTTGGACTCTGACCTGATTACCTTAGCTAATTACTTGGGGTTGAGGAGATGGAACATAATTGTGGATTAAAAAAACAAACATCCCACCATCCATATTTAACATAGGTAAATATTTTGCCATATTTACTTCTAGTTTTTCTCTTTTCCAAGAAAAAGAATTAAAGATGTAGCTAACATCTTCTTTAATCTCCACCCCAAGTCCCATTTCCCTGTCCCCAACTCTAGAGGATATTCATGAATGTATATCCTTTTATTCATTTTGGACCCAGGGTAACTTGATTAAAGCAGAAAATTATTATTTTCTTCTGAAATCTGTTAATTGTTAAGTTAACAGATCAGTATTCTTTTAAAAGAGAATGTTGGTGTAATTGCTGATTGCTACCTTATCTTTATAAAGGCAAGGGGTTACAGAAATTCTCCCAAGGAAGGAATGGGGGGAATAATCCATTTGGATAATAAATAGACATACATAGTGGAACCCATGTGTCCTTTGAAGCTTTTACAGCTGGAAATTGGTTCCTACACTTCTGGCAACCATGCTACCATTAGAGAAGGTGATGTGCTAATTGAAGGATCATTGCTTTCTGTGGGATGATTTCTTCTGTTTGAAATTAGAAGTAAAACTCATATGTTCTTGAGCTGGAATCCTATTTCATTTAATGTAATTAATTTATTTTTTGGGGTCATTATGAAATTTAATCTTGGTTTAATAAGCAAAAAAACACAATAATTATCACATCCTGATTTTCTAGTAAATATGTTGCTGACAACATTGTATTTTTTTAAAAGAATTTATTTATTTATAAATTGGAGTATAGTTGACATGTATTATTAGTTTGATGTACAACATAGTGATTCAGCATTTATATACATCATGAAATGCTCTCCATGTAGTTACCATCTGTCACCATACACAGTTATGACAATACTATTGACCACATTCCCTGTGTTGTATTTTACATGCCCATGACTTGTTTATTTTATAACTGGGATTTTGTACCTCTTAATCCCCTTCAGTTTTGCCCACGTTCCCATCTCCCTTCTCCCTTTGACAACCACCATTTTGTTCTCTGTATGGAATCACAGTTTAAAGTTTATCAGTTTGGTTGAGTAAGTATCTCAACTTCTTTTTTAAAGGATAAACTGAGAATATTATTACTGTATAGCTAGAACAATCCTCAATCTGTTCACCAAATAAATTGAACTTCTAATGAAAATGTTGAGCTTAATTGCATGGTAATTAAAAATTGGATTTAGTCTGAAAATTATTCAGTTTGATTTACTCTTGATGAAAGAAGTAAAAACATTTCAGGTGTGCTTTAATAGTATTATTTATGTGGGTCTTTTTCACTTTCCAGATAAGATATTGTTATGTACATTATTATTTGAGGTCGTTATCTTTAAGAAGTGCGGCTATTGATCAGATGTTTTATACATTTGGATATAAATTTTGGGTAGTTGATTCAGTTTTTGTCACAATCAGGGATACTCTGTGTTATGTAGTATAATGTAGAGCTATCTCTGGGTAGTTTTGATCCCATGCAGTATTAACTGAATTTTTTTTTCTTTTATATCCATGATTTAGCTTTTTTTTTTTTTTATTTCTCCAGAGATTGAAGGTGATTTAAAAGTGAGAAACTGAAGGGTCAGGAAAATACTGAAAATGCCTCTAACCTTATACCTTAAACTCATGGATGTAAGCTTCTTAATTAATATCATTTATCATATAAATTAGGCTCAGTGATTTGCTTAGTAGTTACCTAAAGGGCCACATTTGGAATTCATCATATTCGCATAATGTAAACTTGATGTTAGTTACTATGTAGGTAAAGGTAAGACTTCTCCACTCCTCATTTCCTAACTAGAAAAACAGTGGTCTACGCCATCTAGACAACTTCTGCTTTGCATAGAAGTCATTCAGAGTTCAGCATTGTTTCTGTGAGGAAAATATTTTAGAATTGATACAGTTTACTAAATAGTTCTATTTTTTATAGGTAATGTGGACTGAACTGCCATGTAAAAATTTCCATCTTCTTCTCTGTTGTGCTATTCTGGAATCAGAAAAGCAGCAAATAATGGAAAAGCATTATGGCTTTAATGAAATACTAAAGGTAGTTATTCCTTTAATTTAGATTTTAATATTTTGGCTCTTTCCTTTGTTTGGTGGTACCAATACACAAAACATTTCCTTAGAGCTTTATTGAATCCCTTGAGTAAAACTTAAATTATATCAATAACACTTAATACTAAACTGACTCTGAGAATGACAGCTCAATGAGTACATACTGGCCAGTTATTTTCACCTGGCTAATTAGGAAGAAAAGGAAATTCAGCAAATGCTCTTTTATGTAGTTTAGTTTTCTAAAAAAAAATAATTGTCTTTTGCTTATAACTTTGAGATAATAGACTTGGGACAGATGCTGGATTTAATGTTCCATAAGCTTATTAGTTATTCTTTAACTTTAAAACTGAAAGATATATTGAATTTCCTGCTTATTTGTAGTATGTGAATACTTTTATTTTAAGGATTTTATCTGCAGTGAAATGTAACTGGTAATAAATTGTTTATATAGTAGAATATAATAGTGCTTTTAGTTTCAATTATCATTTTATTTTATGGATTCATTTTAGCATATCAATGAATTGTCCATGAAAATTGATGTGGAAGATGTACTATGCAAGGCAGAAGCAATTTCTCTACAGATGGTAAAATGCAAGGTATACAGTGTTTTAAATGATTGTAAGATTTTTTTTATTTGTATGCATTTGGGTGGATTGAGGTCAAGAAAGAATTTTTCTTCGTAGAAGTAAGATAAATGGCAATTTTAGCAAGTTGAAGGCAGGCACCATTATTAGCTAGGATTTTGTTTACCATTATGGATTTTATAGCACTTAATTGAAAACAGTCAATTAATTATGCTAGATAAGAAACGTAGGACAGCAAAATGGCAAAAATAATGAAAACGTTTCTACAACAACTAAAGAGGCTGTAGAATTTAAGTACTGATGTATTATCCAGTCTGAATAGAGCCTAGGATCTTATGTTAAATGTGGTATCCCCAAACACAGATGCTAATCAGAAATAATTAAATGAATAGTATTTAGTCTGTGTCTTTACAACTGTATCAGTCAGGCTCTTAGTTCTTTCTAAAAACAAGGCAAATTTAATGTATTATCTGAATTCAAACCAAATCATTCTTCTCATGTATTTTATGAGAGTTCCTATTTGGTCTTTGTGTCATTTGTTCATGGTTCTAAATACTTATTTTGGTTCACTTCTACAAACATTTATTTGATAGCTCTTCTGTTCAAAATATGTCAGACACTTCTTTCTTAAAGGAACCTTGTGCATTAAGGGAGAAAGATGGTGTAAATAAGATCCCATTTAATACCTAAGATTCTATAATAACAGGTAGAATGAAATAAATGCTAAATATTAGAAAACGTATGTTTGGGGCGCCTGGGTGGCTTAGTCGGTTAAGCGACTGCCTTCAGCTCAGGTCATGATCCCAGGGTCCTGGGATCGAGCCCCCGCATCGGGCTCCCTGCTCAGCGGGAAGCCTGCTTCTCCCTCTCCCACTCCCCCTGCTTGTGTTCTCTCTCTCGCTGTGTCTATCTCTGTCAAATAAATTAAATCTTAAAAAAGAAAGAAAGAAAACTTACGTTTGTGGGAGTGGTAGGGTGGGGTGGAGAGTGACTAATTTAGAATAGAAGATCACGGAACCGCTTATGAAAAAAGTGGTTAGGATTTCATTTGGAGTGGAGAAGGAAGGTGTGAGAAGATACATAACAATCACACTGTTAGAGTAAATGTTCAGATTCTGGAATCAGTGTAGTCTTAAGTAGAAGTGTTACTTTGGATTACTTTTCCTGTATAGTGAAGGTTGGTTTTGTGTTTAATTTTGCATATTCAGGAATTGCCACAAGCAGTTTGTGAGATCCTGGGACTTCAGGACAGTGAAGTTACAACACCAGATTCAGACACCGGTGAAGATGAAAATGTTGGCATGACTAGTTGTCCTACATCTACATTTCAGAGTGACTCCTTGCCTGTACTTGCTACCAGTGGAGCCAGAGATGACGACCCAACACAGATATCAGTGTCCCCAAATGTTAGCAGATTAACACCTGCATGATCATTCTTCTTGCTTAATTTTTGAAGAGACACTTTGTTGCAACCTTTTTCAAGTACTTGAAAGGTGGAAATTTAAAATCTTGGTATTGATCATGCTTTAAGGTTTATGGAAAGAAAGTGTACTGATGTTCTTGCATTAAAGCTTTACAAAGATTTAAACTAATTATTTTTGTAGTTACTTCTACCAAATAGCCTTTCCTTTTCAATAACATTCCTTAGTATTTTTATAGCCAAGTACATTTTATTTTCTTGCTGATGAACTGGAATTGGATAAATATTACAAGTGGAAGAGTTGGAAATTATGCACTTTGAAAAACATTCACTTTGTTTACTCTAAGTTTAGTGGGTTTTGGATTTGGTTAAATTAAATGTTGGGCCTTTCTATAGCATGCTAAGCTGAGAAGTAGATTGTGTTACCCAAGCGATGAGATAAAAAATTTGTTTTTTCTCTATTGTTTACAATAATACTCAGCTTAAATATTTATGCTGGCTGAATGTGATTTAAATTGGGATTTCATCAATGCAATTTAATGTGTAGATAAAAAGAGCTATTTCAACCATAATAAGTGGATTGGCAGTATATTTTTTACATTGAGGCTTTCTTCACTTGTATATAAAAACTATATAAGTACTTATTTATGAGTATAAGAAAGGATAGGCATATTTTCTTTAACTGAATAAACTTGACTATTGATTTATATAACCTGATTTGACAAAAGTAATACATAGCTTCAGTATGAGATCTTTTTCAAAACTATTTTCTTAACCAAACATTTATTTCATGGGACTACATTCAACCCTGTACCTGTGTAATTTTAAAATTAATTGCTTGTAATCTCACTTTACTAATAATGTGTTTATTATCTTTCCTAATAATGCATTAACTGATTAATCAGGTCTTTAAATTTTTATAAAATGCTCTTTGCAAAAAGCTTATGTCAAAAATTTCAATATACTATTACGAGTCTCAAAATAATACTTTTTTGTATATGAATGAAGCTGTTTTTACCATGCAGTGTTGCATGATTTTAAGTTATGTGGAATTAACATAACTGATTCCGTTTTAATTGTAATTTGTTAACTCCTGTACATATCATTAAAATAAATTTGAAGTTGAAGTAGTGTTTTCAGTTAAATTACACTTAGACATAGTCTGCTAGTTCTTCATTGGAAGAAAAAAATCCAAGATGGCCCCCAGCACATTTTCTATTTAATGTGATTGAAACAATCATTGGAATGAGTTATGGACATGAGAAAGAAACATGACCTTTTATAACCGAAAATAAATTTTCATCAGCACGGACTTGGGCATAGTGTTGTCTTGGAGGATATAATTGTCTGACTTGGGAAAGCAGCTTCTATAATTGATGTTAATAATGTAAAATAAAAGCTATGCAGTTCTGAAATGGTCCAGGAGGTAGATTTTTTTTTTCCCTCCAGAAAACTAGGGAACTAAATGAACTTTTTTCCTACTTGAGTATTAACTGACAATCGTGACAGTAGAACCATTAGATTTTAGTTTTTAATATCATATGTGTTATCTTTAATCAGTTAATAATGAGTAAGCCTATTTAGACAAAAAAAAAGTAAACTGATCAGACACTCGGCATCTCCAGCCTTTCATTTCCTGCTGTTCAGGAAATTGCTTAGAACATCTTGATGTCCTTCTTGTTCTTCCTGGACAGGGGCTTTGGGGGAGTTTTTTTCCCCCACTATGTAATATCATATCTACTTCAGAGTTTAAAAAAATCTTAACACATTTAGTATATTGAACTTTTGTCAAGTTTTATTATAAAACTACTTGTTAAAACATACTGAAGAGTCTGAATTTCTATCTAGCTTATTTTTGATGGGGAAGTAACAATACAGCATAGTGCTAGATAAAGTCTTAACGAGAGTCTACAAGATCCAGTTAGCAAATGCTATATAAACTTGAGCTATTGAGATTGCTAAAATAGATAGTTCAGGTAAATTGGTTAGTCTAACTTCTTAAAGATTTGTTTATTTCAGTTTTCACAAGATGTTGTTTGTACCCTGATGACATGTAAAATATTATGTGCTATATTATGTGATATTTAATGTTAAAATTTAAGTAATTCCTAATTTAACTGTAAAAAGTACTTTCATTTCTGATATGAGAGTCTATGGGAAGCCTTTTTGCATTTAAGAACATCCCTATTTTGAATGTCTTCATATGCCTAGGATTCTTCATCTCTTTGTATGTTAGGAACTTTAGTCTTGGTGATGACTAGAGCTTTTTTGAGTTAGGAAAAGAGCATTTTGGGATACTTAGTTATTCTTGCTGAACCTGACCTTTCCAAGGATTTTTATGGATGCCGACTAATTCTTATGGGAAATTCATATAATTATGTCCATCATTAAAGGTAGTTTGTATAAAGTAACCCAAAATGTTTATTGAAGAACTTAGAACTTTACCTGACTTGTGTGTCACTGTGTAACCAGGTAACGTCCATCTAGCTTGGATTTCTTTACTTTCAGAAGATGTATGAACCTCTTACTATATTTGAAGTTTTGTGTGCGTATTTTTGGGGACAGGTCACATAGTTTCTCTAATTTTCTCCAAGCATCCAGGTGGTTCCTGAGCCTCCCTGAAGTTAGAGAACCGCCATTATATATTGTATTTCATAGGGTAACATTTTGACTTATGGTCAGGTAGACAAGTCCCTGAGTTTTAAAAAAGCAGTTTCTTAATTTTCTAAGGTGGATTTGCCCTATTTGGGCCACCATTTTTAGTATAAAGTGATGACAGTTGTCATGGCCTATTTTATGTAGACTTCCTTCTCCATTGTACATTTTGAAGATAAACTTCCAGTGTTACTTTATTTCTAAACATGAAACAGGATTAAATTTAAAATGAATCTGAAAGGTTTCCATCAAAATCTAGTGTCATTACCTGATACCGAACATGTGTACTTATCTGTACGTTTAATGTGAATACATTGCCATTTGAGTAATACAATGTATGTGGCCTCGTCTCCTCTTGGGTTCTTATAATATGGGGATTTTAACTTGTAGATTTTTGAGTATTGTTCTAATTACAAATATCTTTCTCACTGTCTTGTAAATAGAGCTCTGTTTTTTAGGTTATCCATCTTGCCATAGGGAAAAACATTGTGTTGCTCTTAGAGGCAAAGGTGGGTGGTGTGGGGCAATTAGACTGGACATACTTCTATAACTCTTTTTAGATATCCAAAGCACTTTTAGCCCATGGGAAATATTACACTGTTTACAAATTCACTGTAAAGAAAAGTTGATTATAATCAGAATCTCTTTTTCTAACAACTATCAGGAATCAGAAATACTGTATTTGCCTAAATTAAGAATTGGAATGTTAGAATAATAGGGAGCCAGCTATTATTCCTTCTCAAATATCTGTATGGTATATTGCTTCTTATATATCTATGTGCGAAAGAAGACAATGAAAAGAACATTCCAATAAGCTTAGCTGTGATCAATGAGCAGTCCATTTGTGGTTCAGCTTTTTTTAATTAAGAAGACTTATTAGCCTCAGAGATGGGCTTTTGCTGTGACAGTCAATAAATAGATGTTTCCGACACCGCACTAGTCTGATTGGGGCTATAAGACCCAATGGGTTAGTAGACTGCTTTAAAAACACAAATAGGGCTGTTTGTAGATTGCTTTAGATGTTGTATGGCCTGATTGTACAAGGGACTAGAATCTCTTGCATGAGTGTCACAGGCTCACTTTGTAAAGCAAATTGCTCTCCAGTGGAGAAGCCATCAAGGTACTTCTGGGTGCTTAGCAATTACACTGCGTGCTGCTGTCACTGTTGGGCTCAACTATGCAGGATGCACCCAAAGGAAATTTGGGCCACATGCTTTTTGTTAGCTGAGTCAAGTGTTAAATGAGCCAAATGGAGTATTTGCTGACTAGAAAGTCATTAGCAGTTAACAGCATCTAACCCAAATAAACAATGTAAAAACCAAATTGTTAAGTTTTCTGAGTGAAATTGTTTAAGTACTTTTACTTTATACTGTTAATATTAAGACTTGCTATTATAAACCCATGGATGCTCCTATACACTCTCCCTCACAAAAAAAGGAAAAAATTGGAGATACGTTCTTTTACACCTATCGGTGTAAAGAAGTTAAGTCAAAAAACTGAATTTTGGGGCGCCTGGGTGGCTCAGTTGGTTAAGCGACTGCCTTCGGCTCAGGTCATGATCCTGGAGTCCCGGGATCGAGTCCCGCATCGGGCTTCCTGCTCAGCAGGGAGTCTGCTTCTCCCTCTGACCCTCTTCCCTCTCGTGCTTTCTATCTCTCATTCTCTCTCTGAAATAAATAAATAAAATCTTTAAAAAAAAAACTGAATTTTGTTAAATTGCTCAATTTAAATTCAACTTCTGAATAACTCTGGGACAAATCCATATTCTCTTTTCGTTTACAGAGCTTTTAAGGATTCTATATAAAGGTTAATGGACTTCCCAAAGGAGGGGAAACCCAGTCTTAATGGTTCTCTCTAGCTTCCTTCACGTCCTGTTACCTGGTTTTCCAAATTAGCCTTTAAACTTTGTGTTTAGTATGACTCGTGCCAAAGTTTTAATGACGGGTGAGGATAGAGGGGAACAGAATCCTTTTCCTAGACATTTCATACCTAAGAAGGGTGACAAAAGAAACCCTAGCTTCATAAACTACAACTTACAGAATGGGTGGGTTAGCCTTGGCATAGGCGCATCTTAAGAAATAATGCCTGAGCTGATGGCCAGCAGATTGAATGCAGGTGATGGGATCTTGGGGCCATCACAGTCTCAGCAGGATCCTTTCCCTAATCCCTTGGTCCTAACAGGACTACAGTGGACTCATACCAGATGTGAGAACCTAGTCCCCTTCTCTTTTTAAAGAACTTGTGGAAAAGGAGTTTTTTTTTTAAGTTCATTTTATTTTATTTACTTTTTAAATTACTTTATTTCATCGTGATGAGTGTACTCTTTAATCCCCATCACTTATTTCCCCCATCTCCGCTCCACCTCCCCTCTGGTAACCATCAGTTTATTCTGTAGTTAAGAGTCTGTCTTGGTTTGCCTCTCTCTTTTTTAACCTTTGCTTTTTTTTTTCTTTTCATTTTTAAAAATTTAAATTCAGTTAAATTCAATTAACATATACTGTATTATTGGTTTCAGAGGTAGAGGTCAGTGATTCATCAGTCTTCTATAAAACCCAGTGCTCATTACATGACGTGCCCTCCTTAATGTCCATCACCCAGTGACCCCATCCCCCCCAGCTCCCTCCTCTCCAGCAACCCTCAGTTTGTTTCCTAAGATTAAGAGTCTCTTATGGTTTGTCTCCCTCTCTGGTTTCATCTTGTTTTATTTTTTCCTCTCTTCCCCTATGATCCTCTGTTTTTTGTTTCTTAAATTCCACATATGAGTGAGATCATATGATAATTGTCTTTCTCTGATTGACTTATTTCGCTCAGCAGAATACCCTTTAGTTCCATCCACGTTGTTGCAAATGGCAAGATTTCATTTTTTTGATGGCTGACTAGTATTCCATTTTGTTTAGTTTCTTAAATTCCACATACGAGTGAGATCATACAGTATTTGTCTTTCTCTTGCTTATTTTGCTTAGCATTATGCTCTAGCTCCATCCATGTTGTTGCAAATGGTAAGATTTCATTCTTTTTATGGCTGAGTAATATTCCATTGACTATATATGCCACGTCTTCTCTTTTAAAGATTTATTTATTTATTTTAGAGAGAGCAAGCGAGTGCAAAGCAGACTCCCCGAAGAGTGGGAAGCCAGATGCAGGGCAGGATCCCAGGATGACGAAATCATAACCTGAGCCAAAATCAAGAGTCGGACGTGCTTAACTAACTGAGCCACCCAGGCGCCCCTATACCGTATCTTCTTATTCATTCATCAGTTGATGGACACTTGGGCTGCTTCCATATTTTGGCTATTGTAAACAATGCTGCAATAAACGTAGGGGTGCATGTATCCTTTTAAATTAGTGTTTTTGTATTTTTTGGGTAAGTGCCCAGTAGTGTTATTACTGGATCATGGGAAAAGGAGATTCTTTACCACAGAAATTCTTGTTTCTTTTGGTCACTCTCTAAATTTGATTTTGCAATGCTTTTCA